ACTTCGAAGTTTTCAAAAGTGCCAAGTCATAAGCATTCCTCTGAACCTTCTCACAAGAAACTAGGCGTTTTTCAAACTAGTGTCGCCAAATACATGTGCAAAATGTGCCAAAGCAACGAGCATAGAATTCACATGTGCCCAAAATTTCTGAAGATGTCTGTAGCTGATAGAATCTCTTTTGTAAAAACAAACAATAGCTGTTTTAACTGTCTGTCTTTCGGACATTCGGTGTCGAAATGCACGAGTTCTTACAACTCACGCTAATACTAGCAAAGGTGTTTTACTCGGCACTGCTCGGGTTACTATTCATTATAATGGCACCAACTATGCTGCTAGAGCTCTAATTGATTCTGGCTCTGAGTGTTCCTTCATTACGGAGAGGCTCAGACGCAGAATCAACTTGCCTACAAAGAAAATGCATGCTCAAGTTTCGGGCATCAATAATACGGTTTCTGCACAGGTAAAAGAAGCGTGTTCTATACAGTTGCGTTCACCGATTGACCCATTCATTTCAATTGATGCTATTGTGTTAGTGCTACCAACTCTTGCCGGGAATTTGCAAACTTGCGACATTAGCGCACTAACACAACAAGCTTTTTCTGATCTCATCCTGGCAGATAAAAAGTTTTATGTAAATGAGCAAGTCGATCTTGTCTTGGGAGGGGACATATATCCCCATATAATCTTGAGTGGCATTAAGAAGAATGTTCTTAGTACCCTTCTGGCACAAGAAACAGTGTTCGGTTGGATACTACTGGTCGTGCTGATGCAGTCAACCCAACCAACAATAATAGAGTATTGTTCTTCAATGAAGTGACCCTAGACAAACAGCTAAGCTCTTTTTGGGAACTTGAGGATCTTCCACGAGATAAAACTCCAACAGCTGTGGAAGCAAAGTGCGAGGAGCTTTACAAGCGTACAACACAGCGGAATCCAGATGGGAGGTACATCGTGTCGCTTCCTTTCAAGGCGGAGCTCCCGGCTGATATAAACTTAGGGCCATCACTCAAAATCGCGTTTTCTCAATTTTACAAGAACGAAACTCGACTTGGAAAAAATCCAGACTTACAGAGGGAATACAACAGAGTCATCATGGAGTACGAGACAATGGGCCATATGTCTAAAGTTAATGCAATTCAGTCGGCAGATGCAGTCGACAGTTACTATTTACCACATCACGCTGTCGTAAAAGAAGAGAGTTCTACGACAAAGGTTCGGGTGGTTTTCAATGCTTCGTCGTCTTCAGCCAATGGTGTCAGCCTGAACGATATTCTTCTTCCAGGGCCAGTGCTTCAGTCTGATTTACCAGTGTTGATTCTCCGCTGGAGACTTTTTAGATACGTCTTCAATAGCGATATTGAGAAGATGTATAGGCAAATTCTTGTAGACGCCAACCAAACGAGTACCAACTAATAGTTTTCCGTACGTGTCCAAACGAACCAATTAGTATTTACGAACTAAAGACGGTTACTCTCGGTATAAATTCTGCTCCTTATCTTGCGATAAGGACATTACTCCAGCTAGCTGATGACTCAGAAAGCCTCTATCCTATAGCCTCGAACATTTTACGGAAAAATATGTGTGTCGACGACGTTCTTGCCGGAGGACATACTGTTGACTCTGCGATAAAAGCCAGGGATGAGATTTCTGCAGTTTTAAAATCAACTGGTTTCCCACTTAGAAAATGGACGTCGAATTGCAATAAAATATTGCAAGGCATACCAAAAGCACATCTTCTGAGTGAAAATTTCTTAGAGTTTGAGGACACAAGCAGTGTAAAAGCACTAGGTATAAGGTGGAACGCGCGTTCCGACCAATTTTATTTTATAGCCAAGCTAATAGAAGATAACGTCAATCCAACGAAGAGAGCGATATTATCAGCCATCTAAACTCTTTGACCCGTTAGGTTGGCTAGCTCCAATGATAGTTGTTGCGAAAATACTTATGCAGAGCATATGGTTAGAGGGCACAGACTGGGACGAGACGTTGTCCCCAAAAACACTATATAGATGGCAGAATTTCACGAAAAATTATCAGGAAATCAATAATATAAGGATACCACTGTGGGTATCTTTCTCACCAAAGGAAAAGGTAGAGATTCACGGTTTCTGCGACGCATCCGAAAAAGCGTACGCTGCCGCAGTCTACTTACGCGTGAAAAAAGAGGATAAAGTACTTGTAAATCTGCTATTAGCCAAAACAAGAGTAGCGCCAGTCAAAACAATCTCCTTGCCTAGATTAGAACTTTGCGGGGCGGTATTACTGTCAGAAATAGTCGAATAAATCACCAAAAACTTGGAATTAGGCCACCTAAACATACATCTGTGGACTGATTCGACGATTGTTCTGGCTTGGATACGCAAGTCCCCATGTTCGTGGTCAACCTTCGTTGCCCACTGAATTACAAAAATCATAGACAAAGTAGGGAACTTGAAATGGCTTCACGTCGATTCAGCTACGAATCCCGCAGATTTAGCAAGCAGAGGCATACTGGCGAACGAATTGGTCAAAAATTCTTTGTGGTGGCAGGGACCTTCTTGGCTACAAGAAAATAGGGAAAAATGGCCAACACAAGAGACAGACTTCACCACGAGCATTGAGGAAAAAAGGATGCACGTTCATGCAACAACATCGACAGACAACATCAATGACATTCTTGACCGGTTTTCTAGTTTACCGAGGACTTTGAGGGTGATATCATATATATTTCGTTTCTTTCAAAGAACCCATCCGAAGACAAAAGCTTCTTTTCAGTC